ACCCCCTTTGATGCCCTTGCACATACCCCCAAAAAATCCCCCAGCAAATTTCCCCGGGCTGGCTGGCTGGGGAATCCTGGGAGTTGAAGTCCACACATCTTCAAGCTGCCAAGGTTGAGAAACATTGCCTTAAACAGAAGCTCAACAAGAAGGTTCCATGGTCGTTTGAGCATAGCCACGGTCTAAGTGTAAGAGATGTGGAAGAAGTTTCTTATCAGATGCAAATGTGTGCAGGAAGCAAATGCTTCAGCCAGACTGCAGGAAATACCTTTGATGCTATTAAAACCTGTTCGGGTTTAGAATCAAAGATAAGGCCCTAGGGAAAGTGAATCCGTCTCTCCCCACTGCCCTTCTTAAGCAGCTTCTATAAGTTAGCATTACACGATGGCATATTCAGCTAAATGATGCATCGTTGACATTTATATTTCATTATCGTACACGTACAATGCATAACGCGTATTGTCATACATACATGAGACAATAAACGCAACTGATGTTGGGGGGCGAGCTGCACGGCTTTGAAGATTACACAATTGAACTGAAAGCTAATGGGTTTTCCTCCGGCTTGCTCCTCTGGAAAACAGTGAATAATGAATCTGTTTGAGGAAAGCAACAATTTGCTTCCATCCCTGTTAGCAGTTTGTGATAGAAACAAACAAAAAACAAAACAAAAAACAAAAAAACAGAACAAAACACCAGAATTATAAAAGGGCAGCAATCCAGTTAACCGTATTTAACACGTCAGGTTGCAAAACAAAGCTGGCGAAAGTTTACTGCAAATCAAGAGGTGTGTGTGTCTCTGTGTCTCTCTGTCTGTGGAAGCTTTCTGAAATAAAATACGAATACTACTAATGTGATAATGGTGCAAAAACCCCTCCTGTACAAATACCAAATTCATCTTCCGAAGTTATGCATGTATTCAGGAACCCTGTGGTCTGAAATATCACCAGCACAAGCAAGCAATATTTAATGTGAAAGTATATTATCATAGGCAAGAGAATGCCAAAATGAACTGAACCCTTTTCCTTCTTCGTTGGTCCTTTGTCAAATGGGGTGTAGATTTTTTCTCCCAGAGTCTCTATCTATCTATCTATCTATCTATCTATCTATCTATCTATCTATCTATCTATCTATCTATCTATTTATTTAAACAATTTATATGGCCACCCAACTCATGGTGACTCTGGACAGACTAAAAATCCCAATATAAAACCCATTCCAACCCTGGAGACAACAATACATTCAAACAAACCCCTTGATGGGCTCTGTATCAATCTGAGATCCCCAGGCCCACTGGCACATCCATGTCTTCAGGGTCTTGCAGAAGAAC